TGAGTTAATAAAATTTCTAGTTTGCCGTTGGAAAAAAAAAAAAAAGAAAATGTAAATTTATGGAAATCATTGTAGACTAGAAGTTTTATTGAATATATTTTTTGGGCCAGGTCAGTTATGTACATTAGCCCATTCTCTCATTAACGGAAATATTCACAAGCCCACAATTGAAGGCCCATTTGTAGAAATGAATCTTAAATAAAAACAGGTCCTTCACTTCCACCATCTTCACCAATTGTTCATCAGCCACACACTCACTTCAAATTGCTGGCAGCTGAATTTTTCATGTCCAAATCTTACATCTTCATGGCAATCATATCCTCCAGGTATTCCCATTCTTTCCCCCCAAGAATTTATTTTTACTATTATCTGCTGTAAAAATTATGTGTGCCTTATATATAACTCGACAAACATTGAACTGAATCTTGGAGCGAAAAAGAATATGTATTATTCCTTTTAAACAGACACTTGATGTTGATGCGTTGCATTTGTGTTGAGTACATGGAAACTGTTGGTGTCCAAATGAGTCTAACAGAGTGAAAAATGCTGGGAAATTTTCCCAGGTCACATACTGCTTACAAGGTGATCGACCAATTTACTGAAAGAAAAGAAAAAAAAAAATATGATGTTGCAATGAAAATTTTCTGTTAATACAAAGTAAGTAGTAGCATAAATTAGCTTTGGAAGACCAAAAAGAAGTGGAATAATTCAGTACCCACGAATTCTTGTATGGAGCCGCCTAACTGTTGTAAGGCTGGTCCGCTCGTCATACTTTTGCAATGAAATTGCGTACGTATGATATGAAATGTGATACTTTTGTTAGTTTGAAAGCAGTGCTTAACCGTTAGGTCAGTATAGTTGTTGTTGGTATGTACCTGAGATGAATTAGTAATTATTCATGTTTCCCAAAAGAATCGTGTGTTCTATGTTGAACTCATCAAGCATTACACATTGGTTTATCTTCTAGTTCAATGTAAGTTTCATAATTTGTAAAAGAATAGGTTACATTAATGGGTTCTGTTTTGCTCGTCTATTGGTTAGAACGGGACACTTTCTTTCTTATATACATTGTCGCTCGTATACTTTCAATATGCACACCTTTTCACTCTTTCCTACAAAACCGAAACCTCTAAATATCTATCTCATTTTTAATCTTCAACTCAAAACCCCTCGGCCCCCAAAAAAATTGAAAGAATCAAAACCCGTATCATCACATTCACTTTTCCCTTGTTCTAAAACCCGTTCGCAATAGCTCGGCATAGATCAGATCGTTCCAAGTGTCGGGCACTCCGGGCAGGCACCAGTGGCTGCAGTCTTGTGGAGCATCAGGCGGCGTGCCCGGTTCACGGTTGCTCGACGGGTGCCCGTCTTTCCTGAATTCTGTTAGGTAAGTTATGTTGGTGAAGTGGGTCG